CGGACATGGACGCGGCGGCGCGCCAGGACGCGCTCGACGGCCTCCGCTTCGCGAGCAACGCCGCGGGCGACGCGGGCCTCGTCGTCGACGACAAGGGCGTCTCCGAGGCGCTCGCGCGGGCCATCGGGAGCCGGAAGACCGCGGCGGCGGCGCTCGCCCGGGCCATCGCCGACGCGCGGGAGCGGCCCGGCGCGGCCGCCGCGGACGCCGTCGCCGCGAGCCTCAAGGCGGCCCTCGATGACGCGGAGCCTCTCTTCGGGTCGTCGGAGGCCGTCCGGGCGGCCTGGGCGCTCCTCGACGCCGCGGAGCGGACGCTCCGCGACCGCGCCGCCGCCGTGGCCGCGCTCGACGACGCCGCGACGATCGACGCGCTCCGGGAGGCGCTGGCGAAGTGCCGCGCGCTCGGCGCGGAATCGGCGGACCTCGAGGACGCGGCGGGGCGGCTCGACGCGCTCGAGGCCGCCGTCGCGGACCTCGAGGGCGCCCTGGCGTTCGCCGCCGCGCGGCCCGCGCCCGCGGACGCCGGCGACGTCGCCACGGAGCTCGAGGCCGTCGCGAGCCGCCGTCGAAAGACCGTCGGCGACGACCATCCCGTCCTCGCGGCCGTCGACGCCAGGGTCGCCGAGGCGCTGCAGGTGCTCAAGGACCGCGCCGCGGCCGTCGCGGATCTCGCGGGCTGCGAAACCATCGACGAGCTCCGCGCGGGCCTCGAGCGCGCGCGCGCGCTCGGCGCGGGCGGCGCGTCGCTCGAAGCCGCGAACGAACGCCTCGCGGCGCTCGTCTCCGCCGCGGAGCGCGTCGCCGCCGCGCGCGCGGCCCTTGCGGCCGCGGCGACCATCGCCGAGTACGCGGCGGCGCTCGACGAAGCGGCGGCCGCGGGCGTCGGGAGCGGCGACGCGGACGTGGCGCGAGCCGCGGCCGCGCACGCGGACCTCGTCGCCCGGGCCGCGCGCGAGGCCGCCGCGGCCTCGGCGCTGTCCGCGGCGGCGTCGCGCCTCGCGGAGGCGAAGCTCAGCGACGGCGCCGTCGACGCCTACGCGGCGCTCGCCGCGGCG